AACAATGCTACTATCAGGCCCGCCCCACAGGCCAGAGTACTTGGTGTCATTCTGTACTCCAACCTTTCCTTCCAGCCCCAAGTCCAATCACTAACAAACAAACTCATGCAGACTCCACCTCCGCAACATCACCAAAATCCGCACGTTCCTAACCCCAGAAACCACTAAACAGCTCATCCACTCCCTCATCATATCACGACTCGACTACTGCAACTCCCTCCTCACTGGCCTGCCTCGTCACAAGCTATCCCCGCTTCAGTCCATCCTGAATACGGCTGCCAGACTCATTCACCTTTCCAACCGCTCCGTCTCCGCCACCCCCCTCTGCCAATCCCTCCACTGGCCTCCCACTCAGTGTCCTCCACCCCCCTCTGCCAATCCCTCTACTGGCTCAAATCGGATCAAATTCAAAATCCTAACGCTGACATACAAAGCTGTCCACCTTACTGCCCCGAACTACATCACTGACCTAATATCCAAGTACCGCCCAGCACGCACACTCCGCTCCTCACAAGACCTCCTTCTCTCTAGTTCCCTGGTCTCCTCCTCCCATGCCCGCCTCCAGGATTTCTCCAGGACATCACCTATCCTCTGGAACTTCCTACCCCAATCCATCAGACTATCACCTATTCTCCTCTCCTTTAGGCGCACCCTGAAAACCCACCTCTTCAGGGAAGCCTACCCCACCCCCTACTAATTGCCGACCTCCTCCACTCCTCCTACCACTCCATCCCCCACAGCTATCTCCTCCTGTGCCACTATCCCCTCCCTCCTAGATTGTAAGCTCCAAGGGGCAGGGCCCTCGAACCCCTCGTGTATCACATTGTATTGGTATTGTTCTGTCACATGTTTCTGTCCCCCTTTGTAATGTACAGCGCTGAGCGAACTATTGGCGCTTTATAAATACTGTATAATAATAATAATAATAATCTGTTTAAATCCATAGAACGTGACCTTAACCCCCTCACCTACCAGGCACTTATACCCCCTTCCTGCCCAGGCCAATTTTCAGCTTTCAGCGCTGTCACATTTTGAATGACAATTGCGCAGTCATGCAACATTATAACCATATGTTTAGCATTTTTTTCTCACAAATAGAGCTTTCTTTTGGTGGTATTTACTCTCCACTGGGTGTTTTACTTTTTGCGTTATAAACAAAAAAAAGAGCAAAAAATAAAAAAAAAGTTTATTTTTTTGATTATAAAATTTTGTAAACAAGTAATTTTTCTCCTTCACTGATGTGCGTTGATGAGGCTGCACTGATAGGCGGCACTAATGGGTACTGATAGGCGGCACTGATAGGCAGCACTAGTGAGGCGGCACGGATAGGTGGCACTGACTGGCGGCACTGCTGGGCACTGACTGGCAGCACTGCTGGGCACTGACTGCTGGGCACTGCTGGGCTGCACTGCTGGTCACAGGTGGGCAGCACTGCTGGTCACAGGTGGGCAGCACTGCCCTGATGATCGGTGCCGATTCCCTGCTCTGACAACTTCCGGTTCTCGGCAGTACTTCCCTCACGCTCTGACAGCATGAGGAAAGTGCAGCAGAAAACCGGCAATTGCATTTCCTGGTGATCAGCTTGTCATTGGACACGGCTGATCACGTAGTAGAAGGCCACTGTGATTGGCCTTTTACCACATCACGTGATCAGCTGTGTCCGCAGGACACAGCGTTCACAGAGATTGCCGGGTGCGCGCCCCCAGGGGCACGCAGGAGAGCGTGTTCTGGGAGGACCTCATATGACGTCCTCCCAGAACTGGTTGACCGCAGTGTAGCCGTAATTCAGTTATCTGCGGTCAGCAACTAGTTAAACAATGGACAGCAAAACATTTCTCAAGGTTTGGTAAAGCATCTGTTATCAGGATGATGATTTTACCACGTTTGTTGTATACCATGCATGCACTTCCCATCCATATTCCATCTACATGCATCTACAGATACATAGCTGTCTTACATCACACTGGCATAAGCAGTTGTCCAGTAGACCTCTAACAACATTTAAATATCTTTGTTTAAAAGGAAGAAGAGTTAAAAAAAGCACCTTTCTATCATATTCATGGTTACAAAAAGGAACTGATAAGACACTAGATAGATTTAAGGAACAATGGACATCTGCATTACATATTGACATTTCAGATCAACAATGGATAAGGGCTTTCATATTAAACCAAAAATGCTCACTGAGTACTAGGACCCAAGAACCTTCCTTCAAAATACTAACTCAGTGGTACATGACTCCTTACAAACTGCGATGCTGGTTCCCCACACGCCTAACATATGCTGGAGACGTGGACAAGCTCGTGGCACGATGCTTCACGTATGGTCCATCTATTGCACACTATTTGGAAACAAGTTAAATATTTGATCACTCACATTACTGAAACAAATATCCATCTTCAGGGCTTTTTTTTCAGGAACTCCCCCTTTCTAGGTCACTTCTTGTCTCCACCCCCACCTACCTCCGAGCACTCTCCCATCGTTCCACTCGCTACCCACCTTCCAGTACCACTCCTTCTAGAAAGCACAGAACCAAGTATCATTTTGAGGTGCTCTGCAATTTGCATGAAATTTGTTAATGTTAACAATATAAGCAGTAAAATAGATCCCCCACAGCCAACAGCAATAGAACCCCCCCAGCAATGAAGGACCCTTACAACAAAATACTACCCCATCAACCAGAACCCAGCAGCAACAACAGATCTCCCAGCAGCCATCATCAATAGGATGTCTAGCTGCAAGCAACAATAGACCCCTCCCTCAACAGTACATCCCTTCCAGCAACATTGACCCCCGTCAGCAACAATAGACCTCCCCAGCAACAATAGACTGCCACACAAAAATAGATCTTTTCCAGTGACAATAGATTCCCCAGCAGCCAGCATAAATAGACTCTCCAGCACATCCCAGCACCCCTTGCAATTACATACATTCAGTACTGGAGGTGCCGGAACTGTGTTCCCCGAATTCCCACTGAAATAAGGCCCTGCCCATCTTACACCTGAATGCTGTCTTTTACACATTAATCACTGCCCATTGAAAAAGTACAAACATTCCTGAGCGCCAGAAAACTCTGCCCCCCTGCTGTGGGAATCCACATGCAGGCTCCCTCCTGTCACCCCCCCCCCCTCCCCTGTCCCTCCCTGCTCGTCTTCCCGTGCTCCGTGCCTGAGAGGGACAAAGGCCTTGTTCCTTGTGCGGGTCCAGAGACGCAGGGGGCAGGGCCCATTGCCATGGTAGCTTGATGCTAAGTCTCAGGTTACCATGGCAACAGCAAAGTGCCCGGCTCTGTACTTAAGACAGAGCAGGGCCCCGGTCCCGTGTGTTCTCCTGGCTGCTGTTAGTGAGTGAGGTCTGAGCTGCGGCCACCCTCCTCATTGCTCCAATCCCTCTCCTCTCCTCTGATTGGCTGCCCTGCCTGCAGGCTGCTGCTGGATCCCTCCCTGTGTGGGGTTAACTCTCTGCTGCCCGTGAGCCTGCTGCCTGGATCTCTCCTCTGTGTAGACTTAACCCTTTGTTGCCTGTGAGCCTAGCGGACTTAACCCTTTGCTGCCTGGAGCTGCCTGTGTGGATTGAACCTGTGTTGCCTGTGTGGACTGTAACCCTTCGTGTCCAGCTCCCCACATCCAGTAAGTGGACTAACCCCGTGCTGCCCGAAAGACTGAGCGCAATTCTCCCCATAAACCCTGATTCTTCTGCAACCTCCACCCCATTGTCCTGTTGAACTCTCTGGACTATCAGCCTCCTGTTGTCCCATATTGCCTTCCAGAGAACTGTATGGTGTTGCTGTGTCTGGTGTTGATCTGTGGACTAACGGATCTATTGTGTGTACCCTGAAAACCTCCCCAATAAACGCCCGCATGTCGGGTTCCCGTGCAATCTGTCTCTATGTGCTCTCTCTGCGCTCCTGGTACTTGACAACACCATTGTAGCCAGCTATGACTCTGTCACCCCAGCCTTCAATTTAAAAAGGGATATAGCTTTCTATCAGATGACTAACTGACTTAAATGTCTTTTTTTTTCTTTTGTTTCTATATAATTTAATATTCTCGTTTTTCTTTTATCCCTCACATAGAGCTATTAGCTATGGTTCTGTATTTGTGAAGGTACACAGGGACCTTGTCTCGGAAGGTCTATTTTCCTTTATTCTCTTAGTTATGTCAATAACCAGATGTTATTTTGAGCCTTATAGATTTTAGAAGAGAATGCAGTACACCATAGAGTCGAATGTAGAGTCGAATGTAGAGTCGAATGCTCTCGATTTTACATTGGTACGGTATATGATGTTATTCCAACTAACTTCAGACAGGTTTAGATTCGACAATGTACGTTGACATTGTAGGATATACAGTATATCTGTACATAAATAGTATGTTCTTCACTGTCTCTTACGACAATATTATGTATATGGACATTTTGAATGTTAATATCTTGTATGCAGTTGTCCAACTGGATCATTCGCTATAATGTATCATATCTTTACTTTCCATAAAAACTTATATTGAGAAAAAGAAATTGTGATGATGTGGCAATGAATTGACTGAGACTAAGCTTTCATGATGAGGTCCCATCCCTTCACCAAGGTGCAAGAACAGTCATTACATGACTCAATCAAGACATTCTAAACATTTTATAAAAAAATAGCACTTTAGCTGGTGAGGTATTATGTACATAGTGTGTGTGTATATGTGTATATATATATAAAAAATACACAATGGTCTGTCCTTTTTACAAACATTCATCATTTCTTGCTTCCTCACAGAACACTCTGGAATTGTGTATTTTCAATGGCACTGTTCATGGAACATCTCCTAGTGGAAGAGAATATCCAGAATGAAAATATGTGGGCATTGTTAAAACGCCAGACATTCTTTATTGGACAGGTGAGTGAAGAAATATACACATGTACCCTATAATTAGTACCTGGGTGCAAAAAGCAGTTACTTTAAGCGACTCCAGTGGCTTATAGCGACCCTTCATTCACTATCTATCCCCCCTTCATTCACTACATCTGGTCTCCCCAAACCCTTCACACTACATCCGTCTCCCCAAACCCTTCATTCACTACATCTGGTCTTCCCAGACCCTGCATTCATGATATCTGGTCTCCCGGACCCTGCATTCACTATATCCGCTCTCCCCGGACCCCGCATTCACTATATCCGCTCTCCCCGGACCCCGCATTCCTATATCCGCTCTCCCCGGACCCCGCATTCACTATATCCGCTCTCCCCGGACCCCGCATTCACTATATCCGCTCTCCCCGGACCCCGCATTCACTATATCCTCTCTCCCGGACCCCGCATTCACTATATCCGCTCTCCCCGGACCCCGCATTCACTATATCCGCTGTCCCCGGACCCCGCATTCACTATATCTGCTCTCCCCGGACCCCGCATTCACTATATCCGCTCTCCCCGGACCCCGCATTCACATTCCCCGGACCCCGCATTCACTATATCCGCTCTCCCCGGACCCCGCATTCACTATACCCGCTCTCCCCGGACCCCGCATTCACTATATACCCGCTCTCCCCGGACCCCGCATTCACTATATCCGCTCTCCCCGGACCCGGCATTCACTATACCCGCTCTCCCCGGACCCCACATTCACTATGTCTGCTCTCCCCGGACCCGGCATTCAGTATTCCCGCTCTCCCCGGACCCCGCATTCACTATATCCGCTCTCCCCGGACCCCGCATTCACTATATCCGCTCTCCCGGACCCCGCATTCACTATATCCGCTCTCCCCGGACCCCGCATTCACTGTATCCGCTCTCCCCGGACCCCGCATTCACTGTATCCGCTCTCCCCGGACCCCGCATTCACTGTATCCGCTCTCCCCGGACCCCGCATTCACTATATTCTCTCTCCCGGACCCCCGCATTCACTATATCCGCTCTCCCCGGACCCCCGCATTCACTATATCCGCTCTCCCCGGACCCCGCATTCACTGTATCCGCTCTCCCCGGACCCCGCATTCACTGTATCCGCTCTCCCCGGACCCCGCATTCACTATATCCGCTCTCCCCGGACCCCTCGGACCCCGCATTCACTATATCCGCTCTCCCCGGACCCCCCGCATTCACTATACTGCTCTCCCCGGACCCCTCATTCACTATATCCGCTCTCCCCGGACCCCGCATTCACCGCTCTTCACTCACTATATCCGCTCTCCCCGGACCCCGCATTCACTATATCCGCTCTCCCCCGCATTCACTATATCCGCCTGGACCCCTCATTCACTATATCTGCTCTCCCCGGACCCCTCATTCACTATATCTGCTCTCTCCCCCGGGACCCCGCATTCACTATATCGCTCTCCCCGGACCCCGCATTCACTATATCCGCTCTCCCCGGACCCCTCATTCACTATATCTGCTCTCCCCGGACCCCGCATTCACTATATCCGCTCTCCCCGGACCCCGCATTCACTATATCCGCTCTCCCTGGACCCCTCATTCACTATATCTGCTCTCCCCGGCTCTCCCCGGACCCCGCATTCACTATATCCGCTCTCCCCGGACCCCGCATTCACTATATCTGCTCTCCACGGACAAAAGGTGGGAGATTTTGGAATTAATCCTATGTGACTTGAGTCTATTGGCTAGAAGTTTCCCAGCCCATTTGCCATTGAAGTAGTGTTTAATTTTGAAGGTTCTAGAAATCTTATCATGTTGTTCAAACAAAAACCCTCTCACTTCAAGTTTAAGATCGTGTAGGGTGGAGGCCCTGATTGGATCAAAGTGAGCCTTATTGTCCACTTCAAGGTGATGAATACTATCAAGGAGTGAGTTCAAGCGAAGGTAATGGTGCTTCTTGGCTCTAGCACAAAGTTGAAGTATTATACCTCTCATATAAGCTTTATGGGCATTCCAAATTAAGGAATTATCAGTAGAAGAGGGAGAGTTCGTTTCGAAGTAGTCCCGGAGATGCTGAGAGAGCAACGACACATTGGCAGGAACATTGAGAACTTTAGAGGCATACCGGGTAAGAGGGCTCCTTTTCCTCAATATGCAAGGAAATAGCTGCATGGCCCGACCAGGCAATGTCGGAGATAGAGGAAGAGGAGGCCTGCTGAAGCAACCACTTGTCTATTGAAAACATATCAATGCGAGAGTATGTGACATGCCTAGAAGAAAATAATGTCCTTCTCAGAGGCGTGCTGGCAGCGCTAGATGTTGAACAGGTCCTCCGAATGTGGTAGAGTGGAGAGTAGGAGTCGGTCTTTTCAAGATCCTGGAGGAGTCCGCTGTTAAATTTAAAGTCTCCACAGAGAAGCAGATGACCATATTTTATCTTGTCTACCTTCTGGAGAAGTTTTCAGAGGAATCTGAGTTGATGCTTGTTGGGGGAGTATAGATTCACCAGGGTGTAGGGTTGGTTATTTATATCACATAGTAGCACAATATACCTGCCTTGTGGGTTGAGAATTGAGTCCTTGTAGGTGAAGGATAAAGAGTTCTTTATTGCCGTCAACACACCTCTTTTTTTGTAGGGGGCCGAAGCCCGGCAGATATAAGGAAATGCTTTATGAGTGCAAGTAAAATTGATCTGGACATCTACCTGTCAGTAAACTGTGGTCATGAAAGGGTTAAAATAGAAAGGATTTCAGGAACCTTTCAACTTGTTTCAAGCCATTACAAAGTAATGCAGCAGTCATTTCTTTCTGAAGCATTGACCAAACAGAGAGACCAGAAACAAGTGTCTACTGCTGCACATAAACTAGAAACCCAACAATATGAATTGGAAAAGGCATCAATATCAATAAAATTATAAAAAATGTCCTCCTGCGCTTTTACGGTAACTGATGAACTTAACTAGAAAGCGGCCAGCATCTAACCTATACCAAGTAGGGGCAATAGTACGAATACATAAAAAATAATGCAGCGCTATAACTAATACTAAAAAAATACTCAAAAATAAACGTGATTAGCATAAAAAATAATAAAAACATAGACCTTAACAGACCGGGCAACAGGTAACCCAAATCCACATGGGATATACAAGAGACAGTGACCCCTAGTACCCGAAGGATTACTCAATAAAAACCAGGTGAATATCTGCAGGAGAAGCAAAACAGATAACAGTGGCTTTGTGCAAGATAAAGTGTCCACAGTTCATACAAATGCTGTTATTTCCAGGACGTGCAGGTGAATCACAGCACACTCAAAACGTGATCCCAAGCGGTATGGCTGCAATGGCCTCTCACCTCCACTCTACGACCCCACAGGGCCACAAAGCAAATGTAGATCACCTCTGAATCCCTCAGACTGGTGGCTCCTCAGGTAGGGTGGTGTGGGCAGTCATCATATAAACAGTATTCAACCGGACCGATAGGCAAATGGGGATATACCCTCCTCAAGTGTCAAAGCTCATATGCTCATAAATCAAGAAGAGAACACAATCTTCATAGTGTAATACTGATTTTAATGGCAGAATCAAGATAAGCCAAAAAATAGATATACACTCACATAATAGTAGCCTGTATCCAGGTCATAGCAGTAAGCTGGGTGTAAGCATGATCAAAAGGTGTTCCAAGATGGCGTCACGCCGGAAGTACATCACCACGCTATTGCCGTCGACGCGTTGCGTCACGTAACTCGTGACTTCGTCAGGACAGCGTGATTGGCCAACAGTACTTCCTTATAAAGGCCGGGAACCATGCCAATCAGAGGTGATGGGCGGTACAATCGCGGCCATTGACTATTGAGCTACGAGAATATGGTGAGAATATGGTGAGAAAATGTAGAGGTGATTTACATTTGCTTTGTGGCCCTGTGGGGTCGTAGAGTGGAGGTGAGAGGCCATTGCAGCCATACCGCTTGGGATCACGTTTTGAGTGTGCTGTGATTCACCTGCACGTCCTGTGGGAAATAACAGCATTTGTATGAACTGTGGACACTTTATCTTGCACAAAGCCACTGTTATCTGTTTTGCTTCTCCTGCAGATATTCACCTGGTTTTTATTGAGTACCCTTCGGGTACTAGGGGTCACTGTCTCTTGTATATCCCCATGTGGATTTGGGTTACCGTTGCCCCGTCTGTTAAGTGTCTATGTTTTTTATTATTTTATGCTAATCACGTTTATTTTTGAGTATTTTTTTTGTATTAGTTATAGCGCTGCATTATTTTTTATGTATTTGTAATATCAATAAAATGCCAAACCTAAAAAAAAGTGGAAACCTCCTATCATAAACCTATCATACAGTAAGTGTGCCCTGGTCTTGAATGCAATGAATATGGAAGTGTGTATTGTGTTGTTGTGAGGAGAGACAATTGGCATGGTGCCAGCATGAGGGTGCAGAGAGTGCATGCGGGTGCAGTGATGGAGAGTGCGGGAGGCATGCATGCGGGTGCAGTGATGGAGAGTGCGGGAGGCATACGGTGCAGTGATGGAGAGTGCGGGAGGCATGCGGGTGCAGTGATGGAGAGTGGGAGGCATGCAGGTGCAGTGATGGAGAGTGCGGGAGGCATGGCATGCAGTGGAGTGTGCGGGGAGGTGTGCAGTGATGGAGAGTGCGGGAGGTGGCAGTGATGAGATGCGGGGTGCAGTGATGGAGAGTGCGGGAGTGCATGCGGGTGCAGTGATGGAGAGTGCGGGAGGCATGGTGGTGCAGTGATGGAGAGTGCGGGAGTGCATGTGGTGCAGTGATGGAGAGTGGAGGAGTGCATGCGGGTGCAGTGATGGAGAGTGCGGGAGGCATGCAGGTGCAGTGATGGTGCAGTGGGGTGCAGTGATGGAGATTGCGGGAGGCATGCGGGTGCAGTGATGGAGAGTGCGGGGGGCATGCGGGTGCAGTGATGGAGAGTGCGGGAGAGCATGTGGTGCAGGGTGAGTGATGGAGAGTGTGGGGGAGGCATCTGGGTGCAGTGATGGAGAGTGCGGGAGGCATGCGGGTGCAGTGATGGAGAGTGCGGGAGGCATGCGGGGGTGCAGTGATGGAGAGTGCGGGAGGCATGCGGGTGCAGTGATGGAGAGTGCGGGAGGCATGCGGGTGCAGTGATGGAGAGTGTGGGGGGGCATGCGGGTGCAGTGATGGAGAGTGTGGGAGGCATGCGGGTGCAGTGATGGAGAGTGCGGGAGGCATGCGGGTGCAGTGATGGAGAGTGCGGGAGGCATGCGGGTGCAGTGATGGAGAGTGCGGGAGACGGGGAGTGCATGCTGGTGCAGTGGTGGACAGTGCGGGAGTTGATGTGATGATGTCACAAAGCCCCGCCCCAACATGTTTTGTCAGGGTCACATGAATTTCATCAGAAGACAAAATATGCTGGGAGGGGCTTAGTGATGTCATTGGGCAGGAATTGCAGGTTTTCATGCTGTTAGAGGCTGTATATTGCACTCATAGCATCATATTGATGCAATTGACCTGTATACAATAGGAAT